TCTGTATCGGTTGTGCCTCAATGTAAAGAAAACAAAAATCCTCACAACTGGACGAATAAATAACATCAAAATATATGGAGAAAAGGTTGAAGTTGTGAAAGACTTCATTTTGCTCAGATCAACCATCAGTACTCGTGAAGACAGCAGTTAAGAAATCAAATGGCATATTGTGTTAAGCAAATCTGCTGCACAAAACCTTTTTAAAGTGTTGAAGAGCAAAGATGTCAGTTTGAGGACTAAGGTGTGCCTGACTCAAGCCTTGATATTTTCAATAACCATATGAAAGCTAGACAGTGAATAAGGAAGACTGTAGAAGACTTGATGTGTTTGAGTTATGGTGTTGGAAGAGAATATTGATAGTGCCAAAAGAACAGACAGACCTGTGTTGGAAGAAGTGCAGCCAGAATGCTCCTTGGAAGCCAGGATGGCCAGACTTCGTCTCTCATACTTCAGACATATTGTCAGGGCGAACCAGTCCCTGGAGAAGGATATCGTGTTTAGTAAAATAGAGGGTGAGAGAAAAAGACGAAGACCCCCAACAAAATGGATTGGCACAGTGGCAGCAGCAATGGGCTCTAGCATGGCAACAATTAGGAGTTTGGCCCAGGATCGGGCAGTATTTCGTTCTGAGTTGGTACCAACTGGATGGCACCTAACAACAACAACAACAGCCTGGAATACCCTAAATTCTTCCCTTCCTGTCTCACCCTTTGAGTCTGAGCTCAGACACCACCTCCTCCAGGAAGCCTTCCCTGATGAGCATCACATTTACCTGTTGAGTACTATTGATATTTCCTTGGGTATCTCTTCCCCTGCAGACCGCAACCTGTGAGAGATGGCTTTCCCACCTGCCATCATCTGTTCAGCACACAGCATCATCCTTGAATCAGTCAGCAAACAAGTTGGGGGCTTCCATGTGTGTCAGGCCTGGAGATACAGAAGCCACAAAACAGACCTCCTCAGAGGGAGACGAGGGTTGATGACAAATAATATTGCATCATGTGAGCTGACAGCTGCAAAGGATCAAAATGTCACAAAGTGCTTACAGAGGGAAACGGAAGCCTTCTCACACTGCTGGGGATGGGAAAAGGTACAGCCACTGTTAAAAACAATCTGGCGACTCCTCAAATGGTCAAATATGAATTACCATATGCCCATCAGGTTGATTCCTAGGTATATAACCAAGAGAAATTAAAACATGAATCCACATAAAAACTTGTACACAAACGTTCATCGCATCATTATCTGGCAACCAATGTGGTCTGTCCTATGAAGGCACAGTATCCAGCCGTTAAAAGGAATGGAGTATGGATACACGCTACAGCATAGATGGACCTCACAAACATACTAAGTGAAAGAAGCCAAGTACAAAAGATCATATAGTGCATGGCTCCATTTATATGAACTATCCAGAGAGACAGAAATAAATAGCTTCCTAGACTGAGTATGGAGTCCTTGTGTGGAGTTGTGGGTTGATGCGCTGGACTGAAAGGTTGGTTTGAACCTCAAGCTCACTAGTCACGCCTCAGAAACCGTATACAGGGTCACTAAGAGTCAGAATCGACTCAACTTAACAACAACAGGCTGAGTATAAGGGGGCGCGTGGGGGTAGAGATGGTCTAAGAGGGTGGTAACTAAGAGGATGTTGTTGTTGTGAAGTGTCGTCAAGTCGGTTCCGACCCATAGCGACCCTGTATAGGGTTTCCGAGGAGCAGCTGGTAAGCTTGAACCATCGACCTGGCTGTCCAAATGGCTTTGCAGTCTGGCACATTAACCCACAGCACCACACCAGGACTCCTAGCTAAGAGGCAGAGGGTTTCTTTTTCAGGTGAAGAAGTTCCAGAATGGGCTAAGGTAAGGTTTGCACATATCTGTGAATATACTAAAGACACTGGATTAGATACTTGGGAAGGATGAGTGGTATATGTGAATTCTCAGCAAAGCTGTTGGTTCTTGTCTTTGTTATTTTAACTTTCTATTGTGAATCGTGTGGAGGTTTACAGAGCAGATCATCACTTTTCCATTCCACAATTCATACACATTTGGTTTCCTCTCATTGACTGTAATCCCTTCTATGTAACATCACTCATCCACTTCCTCCTTCTGTTTCCTGTTTCCATTCCTCTTTCTTCCCCAGCCCTTCTGAATCTTGTCCTTAGGTAAACACTGCCCTTTGGATCTCAAATGGCTGACCATTCTATGGTATGTGTACCTCATTAGTGTTGTCGTTCCCCCTATAGACCTACCTATTGCTTGGCTGAAGGAGCTCTGGTAGCGTAGTGGTTACGAATCAGGCTGCGAACCTTAAGGTCAGCAATTCGAAACTACCAGCTGCTCCGTGGGAGAAAGACAAGGCTTTCTGCTCCCGTAAAGATTTACAGCCTCAGAAACCCTGTACAGGGTCGCTATGAGTCAGAACCAACTCCATGGCACATAACAACAACAACAACATTGCTTGGCTGAAGGAGCTCTGGTAGCGTAGTGGTTATGAATCGGGCTGCTAACTTCAAGTTCAGCCGTTTGAAACTACCAGCCGTTCCGTGGGAGAAAGATGAGGCTTTCTGCTCCCGTAAAGATTTTACAGCCTCGGAAACCCTATGCAGGGTCGCTATGAGTCGGAACCAACTCCATAGCACACCAACACCATTGCCTGGCTGAAAATTGAGCCACAGGATTGAATTCAGTTCCAGATCTGAAACGTGAACAAGGAGTACAATCTCAGTGTTCCACCGGTCTCTATCCAACCAATAAGCCTGGTCTTTGTAGGATTTTGCGTTTTCTTCCATATATTCTTGTTTTTATATTGCTTTTTTTAAGTGCCATGAAGGAAACCTGGGAAGAGACCCTTTAAGATGGGTGAGCCCAGGATCCTCTCTGAACATGAGCAGTAAAGTAAGAGGGTGTCTGTCCTGCCTAGGACATGAGGAAGAGCCCCAGGCAGTGGGAGACAGAGGTGGCCATTGAAAATGCAAGGTAGAGAAGGCTTGGGGTCATCCACTTGGGCAACAATCTATACTGTAGAACAGCGTTCTGGGGCACAGTGCTGGATTCAAATCCTGACTCATCTACTTACTAGTTGTAGGACCTTGGGCAAGATCTTCACTCCTCTGTGCTTATGGTTGGGAGGCCAAATAGTTATCCAAATAGGGATAGAGAGGGAAAGAAGTAGCTATTACAAATTAGGTTAGGATGACAAACCTACACCAGCAATGTCCTAGGTAAATGGAGATACAGAGCCCCAACCCAGGGGATCATAGTAATGCTGGTGCCTAGAGTTATTGGGAGGATTAAGTGAACAAAGTCACTTAAAACAAGTTCCAAGACTGAAACTCAAGGGGAATACACGAACAAGCATGTGGTTTTGCTGGTGACCACGTTGGTCATCGATAAGGGGAAGTGTGGGGAAAACAGCAATGAAGTTGTGAGCTGAGTCCGACCATGTTCAACAGACTCCTGTTAACCTGGGTTGAGACCTGGTTGGCCAGCAGTATAGTGAGACCTGGGGGACTCCTGAGCCCAGGACCAGCGACATAGCCACAGAGAACTAGAGTGGAGAGTGAAGCATCCAGCTGATATAAAGAGAGGGGGGATGCACAAGAACACCCATACTTGCAGATAGTACCCACTTGACCTGGCCTCGATGGCTGGATGATCAGAACTCTACTAGAAAGAAGAGGAAAAAAAGAGTACTCTGCTACAATTTGATGAACTTGACCTATACTTATGGATGTAGTAGCTCAAAAGAGGAAACAAATCTTTACAGTGAGGATCATTCCCACCCCCTTGGTACACAGGGTTGACAGGGATGGGCAACTTAGACATTTGCTATCAAAGATGAGGAGGAGGGGGCTACAAAGGTAAGAAGTGACTGCCTTACAAGCTTTCAAGAAGGAGCCTCATTCCAGAAGGTATGGGGGAAGGTAGAATCTCCACTGAGTGGTTTCCAACCTGTCTGGGCAGGACTGATGAAAGGAGATGGGGATAGGATACTGTGGTACAATAGTGAATCGTTGCTATCAGGACTGCCTGTGAGGGTTGCAAATGTAAAGGTAGACATTTTGTAGCAAAAGGAGGGGAGTGGTTGATCTTACAGTCCCGGAGCGGAGGTCACTGGGACCATCAAGGGAGAAGAATGGAGTATGGGACCCTACCCAGAGAAGCAGTGATGCCTGAGATGGAGGCAGAGATGATGATGTGGAGAGATGGAGCGGCTGGGGACTCTGGACTCAGGGAGGGAGAAGGGCTGTGTGCTGATGAACGGACCAGGAGGGCAGGCTTGTGGGATGTACCCTTTGGTTGTTTGATGATGCAGGGAGGGGACTGTAATCATTGCAATGAAATGATATACGATAGGATGAAGATGAATGTAAAGCTAATGTTCTCCCATGTAAACTATCACTTAATTCACAATGAAAACTAAAAAAAAAACAACCCATTTTGATTCACATCAGACAGGTGCTCAGTGCTCAAGAATTGCTTGCTATTATTATTTTATTATACACAGAAAGAAAAAAAGTGGGACAAGGACAGACAGACAGCTCCCAGCTTTGATCCCTGAGTTGTGATGAAGGCTAGGGGGCTGTTGATTTCCCCCCACCAGTCAGTAGCAGAGTGGTTCTGCAAAGGTACCTTGGAGAACCAGGGTTAAGTCAGGCCCAGAAAGACAATGCAATATCCACAGGCGAGAAGAAGGGGAGGGGATGGTCCATGAGAGAAAGACGAGGCTTTCTGTTCCCACAAAGATTTACAGCCTCGGAAACCCTATACAGGGTAGTAATGATTTGGAACCAATTTGACAGCACTTAACAACAACAAGGTCCAGGGGAAGGAGAGTTTCAGCATCAGGATACAAGGGCAGATCTGAAAGGGACATAGAGGGTGAAGTTTAGGGAAATGGGCATAGCAGATGTGTGTCCCAGGGGCTGCCTGGCATGTGCCTGTCTGGGCCTGGAAGCTGGGCCTGGCCGCTGGAGGAAAAGCCCCTCCTCCCAGCAGGATACCTGGTCACAAAGCTGTCTGGTTCTGCCAGACCAGTGTGGAAATGGCATCCGTTGATCCGGGCTGCTGAGGCCACTGGGAATGTGATGAGGCTGCTGAAATAGGGCCCGGGCCTGGTGGAAGAGAGGCGGGGCTCCACCTCAGAAGGGGCAGGATGCGGCCGCTGCTTCCCAGAAACCGACAGAAACTGGCTGCCAGGGTTTGGACAGGAAAGCTGGACCCAACAGGGGCTGGGCTGCCTGGGGTGAGGGCGCCAGGAGCTGGGGAACAGGCAAGTCTGCGGTAGAGGATGGGCAGGGGGTCCTCACCCCAGCCAAGACGGACTTCCCTGAGCCCTCCACACTACAGATAGATAGACAGACCCAGAGATGCTGAGAGCCTTGGCAACAGGAGTTGCCCAATACACCCTGTCTTCATCCTCCAGTCCTAAAGTCTCCCCACTGCCCTGCTCCCTTTGTTGTTGTTGTTATGTGCCCTGGAGTCGGTTGTGACTCATAGCGACCCTGTACAGGGTTTCCGAGGCTGTAAATCTTTATTGGAGCAGAAAGCCTCATCTTTCTCCCACGGAACAGCTGGTAGTTTCAAACTGCTGATCGTGAGGTTTGCAGCCCAATTCATAACCTCTATGCTACCAGAGCTCCTTGACCTCCTCCCTAACAGACCCCAAAATTCACTCAGCACCTTCGGTTCCTATCCTGTCACCTCCCAGTGGTGGGGTCTTGGTCCAATTGCTCTACTATTACAAGCCTCCATAGCCCATGCCTTGCATATACCTTGTGATCTTCCTTTAATCAGACAGCATGCCTTGGTCTGGTGACTGCCACATAGTCGGTGTTTAGGAAGACTTGATCCCGTCTCCTCCCCTACTTGTATAATTCCAGCTAGTCAGAGGGAGGTGACACACTCTCTGCGGTACTTATTCAATGTACAAGGCTCCTCCCTGGGCATCACAAACGGTTTGTGCTCTACTGCTAACCTTGAAGTTAGTGGTTCAAACTCATTCAGTGGCAACAAGGAAGAAAGGGCTGGCATTCTGCTTCCATAAAGATTACAGGCAAGAAAACCCTAAAAAGCAGCTCTACTCTATAACAGGAAGACCCCCAACGAGATGGATTGGTCAGGTGGCAGCATGGATGGACTCAAGTGTGGCAACAGTAGTGAGGTTGGCCTAGGATCGGACATTGTTTCGTCCTTCTGTGCATAAGGTCGCTATGAGTCGGTGCTGACTCAATGGCACCTGACAACAACAACAACAACAACAGCACTCTGTAACACATGGGGTCGCCATGAGTTGGATTGACTCGAAGACAACAGGATTTTTATCTCTCATACAAGATCTTGCGATATCAAACATCTGGCTTTCCATAGGACTCCACAGTGCCCTTCAGGTTCTAAAAACCCAAGTCTTTTTCCCTCATTCATTTCCTTATTGAGCAAATCTTTGTTGAAGGACTACTGGGTGTCAGCCACTGTTCCGAGGGGAGGGTGATGCAGACATCGAGCACAGTCTAGGTTAAAGTGTAGAGGGACTGAGCTGAGGACCCCCATGTTTCCTGAACAAGTCCATTCAGCAGCTCTTCTTGCAGGTCCTACTGTGCACAGACCCTGTCTCAGACCTTGCCCCACAGTAGGAGAAGAGACAGCGTGGGCAGGGAGGGGTGAGGACTTACCCATTCCTCCAGGATTTGCCAATTATTTAGCCAACCCCAGGCAGGACCTGACTGGGAGAAGCGGAGAATATACGATAACTCCTGCCCTGCACCCTTCACTTCCCATAGGGCTTTGTCGGGTGTATCAAAGGTGCCAGGGCTCCTACAGCTAGGAGCCCACTTGCCAGCAGAGTAGACTAAGGTGGGAGTATGAGCAGAGGCTGGGATCTAAGGTTGCTTGTGGTAACACAGCCATAGGCTCTGCGTGCTGGAAGCAGAATGGGGCCCAGATGTTGGCAAGGAGACTCAAACCCCCCACCCCACAGAGGTTTGGAGCATGAGGGGTGAGGGCGTGTTGTCAGGGCAGAGACAGGTTCTTTTTTTTTTTTTTCACTTACATTTTTCTTTATTTTTGAAAATCTAAACATTACATTAATAAAATAAAAGTCAGATAACTTTTTTCTTTCTTTCTTTCTTTCTTTCTTTTAATTCAGCATTTTCCTGCCCGCCCTCCCCTCACGGTCCTCAGCAGACAGCCCCTCTCCCTCTCCGGATCCCTAGTCCCCAGCCACTCCATCTCTTCACGTCACCCTCTCTCCTCACGTCACCCTCTCTCATCACGTCAAGTCATCCTCTCTGTCTCAGTCTCAGGCCTCACTGCTCCTCTGGGTGGGGTCCCGCTCTCCCGCTCTTCTCCATTGATGGTCCCAGGGCCCTCCACTCCTAGACTGAAAGGTTAATCACTCCCCTCCTTGCTATAAAATATCCATCTTTACATTTCCAGTCCTCACAATCAGTCCTGGTAACAATTATTCACCCTTGCATCCCAAGGGCCCCATCTGCATTTCTTTTCATCTGCCCTTCCTAGACAGGTCGGATACTACTCACTGGACACTCTACCATCCTTCCCGCCCTGTGGATCTAGGTTCCCCCTTGAAAGCTTGTAAGCCAGTCACTTCTTACCTTTGTATCCCTTCTCCCATTTTTGGGTAGCCAATGTTCAAGATGCCCATCCCTATCTACTCTTTGTGTGGAGTGGGTGGGAATAATTCTTGGAACAGGGATTTGTTTCCTCTTTTTAGCTACTGCATTTATAGGCGGAGGTCCAGTTTATCAAATTATATCAGATGATGCTTTTTTTCCTCTTCTTTCTTCTTCGGGTTGAGCTCTGTTCGTCCCATCATTGGAGCCATGGCAAGTGGGTATCACATGCAGGTGTGGGTGTCAGAGACAGGTTCTTATGCAGACTCCTACTTATCCTTGGTCTGGCTCTGTAGGCCTTTCCAGCTCCCATGATACCCAGCTTCTCCCCTTCTTATTTGGGAATACAATCTAGCACCATGACTTCCCCCACCAGATTGAGAGCCCAGTGAGGGCACAATGGGACCAGACCCCCTCTGTGGCTCTAGTGCCCAGCATTAGTCAGGCTTAGACAGGGAAGCCCGCTCCCTCCTCCCCACTGCCCTCACCTGAACGCCTGAGGCACAGGACATTATGGAGTCTGGGGGCTTTGGACAGGTTATGGGGGGACCTCAGCTTTTCCAGAACCAGTGTTTCTCAGACCACATCGAAGGAGGTACATGCTGTAACAGAGAGAATGTTCTTTCTTGGCAGTTAAGGGTGTCAAATGGGTCACTGTTTTACCAAGAGCCCAGTGGTATGCCACAGGGGCCCTGGTGACACAGTAGGTTGTGTGCTGGGCTGCTAGCCAAAAGGTCAGCCCACCAGCTGCTCCTCCAGAGAAAGATGGACAGTCTGCTTCCATAAAGATTGTTGTTCTTAAGTGCCATCGAGTCAGTTCTGACTCACAGCGACCCTGTATGAGGTGTTTCCAAGGAGTGGCTGGTGAATTTGAACTACAGACCTTGTGGTTCAAACTGACCTTGCAGTCCAGTACTTTAGCCCACAGTGTCACACCAAGACTCCCATAGATTATAGCCTTGGAACCCCAGTTCTACTCTGTCCTTTAGGGTCACTGTGAGTCAGAAACCATTTGATGACCACTGGGTTTGGTTGGGTGGCATGGCATAGGCAGGGAGCTAAGGGAATGGACTCCTGTCCCTTCCATTTCTATATAAGCTGAGTGGTTCTGGCAAGTTGCTGAGCCTCCCTGTGCCTTGGTGTTCCAATCTGTAAAGTGGGGGTAATAATAGTAGCCACCTCGCAGAGCTGTTGTGTTAAATAAACCAACGCGTGTAAAACACAAAGTGACCCAGTGGGCGGCACACAGTAAACCTCGTATAAGTGTTGGCTGATACCTGATCTCAAATGCAAGCAAAATTTTCCTTTGCTCTGGGTTAGTTTGTTTGTTTTTGCACTGGTGATGTGAGCTTTGATTACCTGGTGACACAAGTGCTTGCCAGCTTTCTCCATTTGAAAGTCACTTTTTGTTAACCCTTTCTATACATCCATACTGCTATTCTTTGGAGGGAATTCTGGTGTGGTGCTGTGGGTTAATGCGCTGGACCTCAAGATGGGTTTGAATCACAAGGTCAGCGGTTCAAGCTCACTGGCCGCTCTTTGAAAACCCTATAGTGTTGCTATGAGTCAGAACTGACTCTATGGCACTTAACAACAATTTTTTTGGAAATGAAACATTAAGTCCAGTTCACACTCGAGGCTGTTGGGGTATTAAGCCCAACCAATTGGAGAGAAGGGCTGGTGGGGCGCTGCAGGTTAATGAGCTGGACTGCAAGGTCAGTTTGAACCCCAAGGTTAGTGGTTCAAGCTCACCAGCCCCTCAATGGCACTTAACAACATTAAAGAGAGGGAGTCCTGATGTGCCGCTGTAGGATAAGCACTGGACCACAAAGTCGGTTTGAACCGAGTTCAGTGTTTCAAACTCACCTCAGAAACCCTATACAGGGTCTCTGAGTCAAAACCGACATGATGGCAATTAACAACCCTGGAGAGAGAAGCAGCTGCATGCATTATCTGGAATTTTTCTGCAAGGAAGATTTGTTCCGTTCCCCCCATGTATTTATTTATTCAGTCATTTATTTTTATCAGGGTGAACTCATGTATATTTATTTATGTTATACTTTGGGTTGTAATCTAACACTATGTTATTTTTGTTGCTCAACTTGTTTGAGCTTTTGATCACTGGGAACTCTTTCAGGGTGGCTCCTGTGTTTGTTTGACATGCCCCCATCTGTTTGTTGTTTAAACATTTCCTTATTCCCTAGCACTATAAGATACTGCGAGCTCATTTGGCATTCTCCCTTTCTCAGCACTAGCATCAGTCATGTCTCCAAGAAGCTGTGGAAAGTTTCTATCACTGGAGAGTGGTATTTAGGATCCAAAGTCTGGGCACTTGGTGTGCTCATTGGATCTGGGCTGTCACTGCTCCCAGGCCTTCTCAGTGGACGGATTGGAGTTTAATTTAAAAACAAAGCTTTTCCCTCTATGCGTCCACTAGGATTGTGATGAGTGCAATCCTAGCTCATGCAGCTCATGCAGAGCCTCACTTCCTGTCTCCAGTCAGGTGGCTGAGCCACTTTGAGATTTCTGAGTTTTGAAGCAGTAGGCTGTCTCCTTTTAAGACTGACAGCTTTGCCAACGGTGGTGGTAGTAGTTAGTCCCAGCTACTACCAGGGCCAGGCCAGGCAGGGGTCAGGTACAAGGAAGATAAGATTCAGCCACCTTGGCCTAGCATTCCCAGACAACCTAGCACTAACTGGTTCTCTTTGCTTCCCTGCCTCACTGGCAGGCCTCACTGATGGTGGGTGGGCTGGGACCCAGAATGTGGTCTTCCTGGAGGCAGTTCTCTGACAGCAGCAGGTAGTCAGGGCAAAGCAGGCCAACTAGAAGACCCCAGGAGTGAGTCAGGAGACTTGTGTGCTAGATCTGCCTCGACCAGTGACTGCTGTTTGGACCAGAGTAATCATGCCACACCCTGCTTAAAACCTTCAATGACTCCCCATTGCCCTCAACTTAAATCCTCACTCCTGGACCTGCCTTACAAGGCCCTAGAGACCTCTCCAGCACCCTCGGCACACCCTAACCACACCAAATTGCTTGTGGCTCCCTTGCACAACCACAGTTTCACGCCTCTGCACCTTACACTGTACTCTGCCTGCATCATTCCTACTTGTCCTAGTCTCAACTCTGGGATCACCTCCTCCAGGAAGCCTTCCACTTATACCCCAGATATCTCTGCCCACCTGGTCATGTCCCTGGTGGCCATGCACCTTCCTAAGCGGCACTGTGAATAACCTCTTACATGACAGACATTAGCCTGGTCCAGCAGAGAATACTTCGGAGTATGAAATCGGGACTCTGGCTTCCTTAGAAGCCTCTGCAGCTTCCTGCTGTGTGACTTAGAACAAGTCGCTGCACATCTGTGAGAAAAGGTCTAATCAGGATTCCCAGCCTTGCATTCCATTCAAGCTTCTACCCTTAACTTGCTGTGTGGACTTGGGCAAGCCCAGTCGTTGAGCCCAGCCTCAGTTTTCCTCTTCTGTAAAATGGGGCTACCCACAAAACTTGTAACTGAGAGTTGAGGCTCCAACAAGCCAAAACCTGTGAAAAGTTTTTGTAAACCTAAGAGCCCTACACGAAAGGTCGAGGAATCTATTTCAACAGCTCCAGGGAGACATGTGGGAGGGAGGCTGAAGGGTGCTCTCACCCATCGTCTGCCTCCCAACCTCTCCAGAAGCTTCCAGATCAAAGGTGATAGGGCCTGCTGGCATGTTGGCTGGGTTCAGTAGGGCCTGCTCCACGGGCACTCTGCCTAGCCCCCCACCCCCGCTCCCAGGATTACATGTCTATATTTCGCAAGAAGCTGTTTAAACATTCGAGGGGGGAGAGAGCCCTTCACCCACCCTCCACTCCTGGCATGGAAAGAGGCCGCTTAGACCCCAATGCTGTTCTGAAGACTCAGAGCCAAGATCAGTTTGAACCATCTGCAACTTTATTCCGGAGCAGAAATAAGTCATTTTCTAACAATAAATATAAAAAAAAATAATAAATTAAGGGTAAAAAAAAACACCCAACCAAAAAAATCATTAACACTGACAAGAGTAGTGAATGTTGTCCAAAGGGTGAGAGGTCAGTGGAATGGGGAATGGGCAGGAAAAAGCCTGCCAGCACCAGCCCCTCCAGTCCTGGGAATGTCTGATACAGGCCCTCCTCTGGTCCCAACCCTGGTGGGGCCCTTGCCACATACACACTCTCTTCACAAAGTACAAAATATATATATCAAACACCACAACACAACCAAGCGTCCTGCAAGGGCCCAGGGAGCCAGAGTTTGGCCCTTTGGGGGCTGAGGATAGGGTCTGGGGATCTGAGGAAGGCACTGGGGGAGGTGGGGGAACCTTTTGGAGCCTGAGCTCAGCAGAATTCTTATAAAGAATGATGAGGTTCCCTGTTCGCTCAGCAAGGACTAACCCCCACTCCATCTCCCTCAAACTGTCTCATGGGAGAAGCCAAAAGGGAGGTCAGTTTGGAAATGTCCAGCATTTTGTCCAAAGGCCTTTGCTCCAGGGGCTCCGGGAATATGGTGGTGCCTGCTAAGTGCCTGACTTCCTTGGAAGGGAAGAAGTCCCAGACGAGGATCCCTGAGCAACAACTTAGTTCAGGCCAGGGTATCGTCAGAGAAACGCCCTCCCCACCAGCAAAGGCTTCAGGGTGGCGTCAATGAGGTCTGGTGGCCCAGCGCCGCTAAGCCAGCAGGGAAGCCATCCTGTTTCTTCAAGTATTCTTGGCCGACCAGGGCAAGCCGTCCTGTTGGGGCTCAGATGGGGATCCCCACTGTGTTCACCTGGTCCTTAAGACCCAGCAGGCTATAGGCAATGCGCTTTTGGTGGCCAGGCAGCCGCACCCCAATGCTCTTGATGTCGCTGTGGGCAGGAAGAGAGAGAGGGAGAGTTAGGCTGGGGAGGAGTCATGCTGAGCACAAGGTGCTGGGCACCTATGGGAGGGAGGCAGAGGCACATTCAGAAAGGAGACAAAACAGGGACCTTGAGGACCTGCAGGTGAGAAGGTCCAGTTAGGGTGAGGACTCCGCGAGGGTCCACTTCCTAGCAGTTTGCTAAGAAGCCTACCATCAATGAAGATGCAAAAAATGATTCAACCCATTGAGTCTGTGAGAAGGTCTGTCATCAAACCTCCACAGTAGTCTTGTGAGGTGGGTGCCATGTTCACTCCCATTGTGCAGTTTTGAAAACTAAGGCTCAGAGAGGTGCAATGAGACTTGCCAAAGGTCATTTCTCCAGGAGGTGGGAATCCAACCAGCTGTGATCAAACATCAATCCCCAAGAGGGTCTGTCCTTCATGTCCCTTGCTGAAGCCTCTCCAGACAACATTTATGTCATCACCAGGGTGATGGATGCCAAGGACACCCACCCCACCTTCTCAATGTTGTTGCTCATGGTCTCTCACCTCCTAGTTCCCACTGCCAGAAACTGAGGAAGGACTCTAGAAATACTTGCTGAGGGACCATCAAGGGTTAAAGCTCTACATGTCTCTAATGGGAAGGGCTTCCAGTTCCTCTAGGGGTAACTGGATCACCTAAGGCAGGTTTCATGCTTTAAGGAAACCTCAATTTCCTTATCTGTAAAATGGGTTAATAGTTCCCACCTAGAGGGTGGGCACCCCCAGAAGCTGGGGGCACAGCGGGAAGGTAGCATCAGGATTTGGAAAGATGTACCCAGGAGCCCACAGCCTTGTCTCTCCCACATCCCAAGAGATGCAGACTCCTCTGGGCTCCCCACCCCCCTTTCTGTGCCCCTCATCCTCTCATAAAACCACTTATGCTCCCCAGGAGCCCGGGAGCAGGACATTTATTATTCACTTTGGGAGTTTTCTCCTCCGCAGTCCTCACCCACCAGCTCAAACCCATGAAAACACCCAGGTTTTTATGGGCCGTCTTTTGGCTGTAAATGGGGCTAATTATATGGTGCAAGCTCCTATTTGCAATTCCGGAGACAGGACTTTCCCACAGGTTGGGAGCCTCCAGAGAAGTGCTGAGCAGGAAAGGGCAGACTCAGGTGCGTGAGTAGGGTGGGACCTCTAGGTGGGCCAGCGTTCAGCAGCAAGAAGACCAGAGGTCAGACATTCGGGGGAACTTCCTAACCTATCACCCACATTTGGAGGTCTTGAGTATTTTTCCCACACCCAGATTGCCATGCTGACCACCAGGGAAGAAGGCGCTTACTAAAAAGGAAGGCTCCTAGATCCAACTCCAGACCCACTAAACATTCTTTCTGAAGGTGGAGCCAAGAAAACGTCATTCACTGTCACTGAGTAGACTCCACCTCTTAGTGACCCTATAAGACAGAATAGAGATGCTCCATAGGGTTTGTGAGACTCAATCTTTATAGGATCAGAAAGTCGCATTTTTTCCCAAAGGAGTAGCCTGTGGGTCTGAACCACTGACCTTGTGCTCAGCCCAGTGCTTAGCCCACTGCACCCTCCGAACTCCTGAAGGTGAAACAGAGTCTGTCTGCATTTTTATGAGACCCCAGAAGATGTTGGCATGTAATTTCAGAACCAGTGGACTATTTGTGTTCCACGAGACCAAAGGCTCAAGGCCTCAGCTCCTGCAACCATTCCCCTACTTCCACCCCCTGGGGGTCCAGTATGGGCTTGGGACATAGTAGATGCTCCTGGAACACAAGGAAGAACGAGTAAATGAATGAATGAATAAACTTTAGTGGGGACTGAGCCACCCTTCTTCCAGACTGGTGTGGTTTATCTGATACAGTGGGAACTGAGATTGCCTCCAAGGCCCATTTGGAAAGCCCAAAGTCCTAGACTGGGAGGCAGTAGGTTGAATTCCAGTCGTAGCTCTGCTCCGGACTCAAAGTCAAGGTTTTGGTAGTCAGTCTCTGGAGTCCTGCTATAGCACTGTAGGCTAAGCACTAAGCTGCTCATCGTGAGATTGACAGTTCAAATCCACCGGCCACTTTCTCAGAAACTCTATGCAGGGTCAGTATGTGTTGGAAACAATTTGAGTATACTCACCAACAGTCTGTCATTAAGAGCCCTGGAGGCACAATAGTTTTAAGCACTGAAAGGTTGGTAGTTCAAACCCACCCAAGGACTCCTGGTGATTTGCTCTCCTAAAGAGTTCACTGTCACAAGGAGTCACTATGAGTCAGAACTGACTCAATGGCACAACACGAAATCTGTCTTTGGACCTCAGTTTCTTCATATGGAAATGGGATGCTTCAGCTTTACTTAGATGCTCCTGAGCAGCCTGCCCCGGGCCCCTCCCTTTTTTTAACAAAGCCTTTCCTTCCTTTAGCTACTTCACTTCCTAACCATAAACGGAACAACAGATTGGGGAGAGGGTCACAGTCAGGCCAAAGGCCTCTGGCTATTGTAGACCACCCAAGTCTGTTCCTGTCCCAAGTCTCAGTTTCTCCCCTTCAGGAATCCAGGGCAGTCACCTCTGTCAACTCCCTTCAGAGACATGAGGCCACCTTTACACTACCCGGTCTTCATTCTAAGCACATGTAATGCCAGTCCTGGTCCTGGGATATTCAAAGACCACGTGCACACAGTAAGCACCTACTATGGGCTGGCTCTGGGCACAAGGAGAGGAGAATGAGAAATGGCTCCTAGAGCATCACCCAACTGTTTATCCACAAAGGCAGCAAACACCCCCCTCCTCCACAGCCTTGCTGAGGGCATGGAGAGTCCACCATCCCTGTTAGCCTGTGCCCTCAATGTTTTCAGAGGATGCTCTTCGGTCCCTATTACTAACTAGGTGGGCATTTGTCTGGAGTATAATCCCCACCAAGTTCATTGTCTCCTCAAGAAAACAGACCCACTAGTCTAGTTAGAAACCCAACTGTTTCCAAAACTGCACAGTGAATGCTCAAGCTGAAATCAAGATGGCAGCTGTGAGACCACGTGGATGTGAGTAGTTAGCCCCAAGGAAGAGAATAGATGTGAGAGAAGAGAAGGGATCTTGGAAGGGATCACTGCGTAATGAGGACCTCTTTGGGGAAGGAGCTGAATTATCCTGAGACCATCTTAGAGTCTCCCACCGGGCTCAAGGCATGTGTAGACAAAACTTTCAGCTGTCAAAAGGGCTCTGAGATTCCCCACTTATTTAGAAAGTGCTGGAGGGAAGGAAGAAGCAGGGGTGGCAATGAGTCAGCCCCACAGGCCCTGGCTCCGAGCACCAAGAAGTCAGTGGGAGGAGGAGGGAGCAATGGATGACTTCCTGCATTTATCCAGACCTTTTCAAAACAAAACAAAACACACACGCACATACGCAGCTTCCATCAATCCAAGATAGCTCCATCCCTGCTCGTGGGAAAGGAATTGGCCGAGGAGCACCCTGTGCTAAATTGGGAAACTTCTAAGAACATGTGCTTCCTGTAAGCACTTCTTGCCCTCGGCTCTGGTCACCCAGAAGAGAAGCTGCGTTGTCCTTGGTGGAAGCCCTAGAGGGATGAAGGGCAGAATTCCAGATTCCCAGGGAAAAGGAGGGGTCTCGGGGACCCTGGTATTTGTCCACTGATGGTGAGTGGAGGAAAAGAAGAGTACCCTGGACTAAGCCCGTGCTGTGTATCAGGTGTGCTGTCTGCATTGCACCCAGGTGAGAAACTCCTGACTCAAGGAGAGAAACTGATTTGATGAAGGGCACCTACAAGGAGGTGGCAGCTATGAACTTGAACTCAAGTGTGACCGAAAAGTCCAACATGTGACTGCAGCTGGTTGGCAACAAGCGATCAGGGCACCTGTCTCCTTCGGCTCTGTGCACACTCTCCCCAACACCAAGGCACCTTCTGCTCGCTCTGTCCCCAGCCTGATTCCCCTCCTCAGTTGTCCCAGAGGCCACCAACAGCAAGTTAGAAGCCTGAGGAGTTTTCAGAGGTCACAGAGAATATTCATGCACCAGCCCAAATCCCAGAATTTCTATGACCCAGAACTATGGGACACCCAAGTTACTCCCCCTCCATCTGGTTCCCAAAACCTCATGGCCCCAGGGCCCATTCCTGCCATGACCTTGGGCTCTGTACAAGTTGGACTATTGGGCTCCAACACTATTTTTAGAGACATAAACAGCTAAAAAGGAGCTCTGATAGCATAGTGGTTACAAATTAGGCTGCTAATCTCACCACCAGCAGTTCGAAACTACCAGCTGGTCCACGAGAGAAAGATGAGGCTTTCTGCTCTTATAAAGATTTACAGCCTCAGAAACCCTATGCAGGATTGCTATGAGTTGGAACTGACTCCACAGCACATAACAACAACAAACAGTTAAAAGGGCATTGTTCTCTCCTTCTGGGGCTGGGAGGGGGAAGGGTCTACACCCAGTCCAGGCCGGGCAAGGCCCTGATACTGGTGTCAGAAAGGAAGGCAGTGGTCCCCGGGCCAGCTTGACTAAGGGTCAGGCCCAGTGCCAGCAGCAGGTGAATGGCACTTCTGGCCAGGCCGGGGCACAGGGCTGGGCATCAACACTAGAGAGAGGTACTGGGAGTAGGGCAGCTTGGTCCAGAGTTCATGCTCCTGGGCAGCAGGCCAGGAGGTCCCAGGAATCCTCAGGAATCCTACCCATAACTACTGCCTTGTGACCTGAGACAAGCTCTGAAGCCCCTCTCCACCCACATCTCCCCATTTGGTAAATGGGAAAACAAACACCATGCCTGTTCACAAGATAATGGGGATTCAATCAGGTGATGGTTGGCCAGAAGGAGGCCAGGTAACTCTTTGCCTCAGTTTCTTTACTAATAACCGCTAAGGTCCCAGAGCTCTGGTGCCTGTGGATCAGAGTTGAACTCTTCCTCTTGACCCAGTGGCTGAGGGACCCTGGGCAAGTCACCACACCTCTCTGCACCTGTTTCTCACCTACACAGTGGGGACACTAACTGGACCACCCATATCATGAGCGCTGATTCAAAGTGCTCAAGCACAGAGTCAGTACACAGTCAGCCCCTAACAAATGGCAGTGACTGGTATTATTACAATTACTGTTCTTCTCCCACTGTGGACTGACTGAGACACAGGAAGAGAGCAGGTACCCAGAATTGCTGGCTACAGGCCTGGCTTCAACCCTTCCCACGGAGCCTCTATCCCCAGAGGAGAAAGAGAGAGAAAGAGAAGATGGGGGAGTTGGGGAGGTGGGGCTGACAACCCTTGAGGGTGGCAGACGGGGTGAGGGTGGGCACAGGGCTGGGTGGACTCACTCGTTGGTCATCTGCACAACCTTCTCAATGGCAGTGTAGCCGGCTGACATGAAGTGTTCTGTGTACTGTTGCATCTTAATGGACTCGAGCCACTCAGACACAGTGCGGAAGGGCACTCCCTCGGAGCCGCTAGTGCTGGGCAGCCGGATGGACACCCTGCAACAGAAGCCAGTCCAAGAGTGAGGGTGATGTAGCAGCCAGTCCCCCTCTGGGCTTTGGGCCTGCTGCTCCCTGACCTGCAATTCATCCACTGAGCACTGGGGAGCCAAGTCAGGTAGGTTCCATGACAACCTGGCACATGGGGAGTCTTCAAGGAGTATTTATTATAACTACTGCTGCCAACTCAGCCCCTACTAACTAACAACACCATCCAGGTACAAAATCATTGTTGTTAAGTGTGGTCCAGTGGGTTCTGACTCCTATCTACCCTACATAGGGTTTCCGAGGAGCAGCTTGTGGGTTTAATCCTACAGCGCCACACCAGGACTACAACACAGCGAAATGTTCAGAGAAGGGGTTGAGATCTCTAGATGCACAATCCAGACTGGCCCCGTGCCCGCTGTGTGAAATACTTAATCGCTGTGTTCCTTGGATATATAATGAGTTACACGATAGGACCCAGCTCACAGGCTGTCTACATGAGAGCTGAGCACATTCTGCCTGCTTCCATTAGTCTGACACTGGCAGCCACATAAAGCCCAGGAGTGACTTCTGGGTCTCCTCTGGCTGACCAATCCCCTGAAGTGTAAAGCTGGGGTTGTCCCAAGCAGAGGACATAGAACTCACCGGGGGTCGAAGTCAGCCAGCGTCTTGAGGGAGTCGGGAGCTCGGATGAGCTTGTCGAGGATGCTGACGATGTCGGCAAACTTGGGACGGCGGGCACGTTCCTGCTGCCAGCACTGCATCATGAGCTGGTAGATGGCAGAAGGGCAGTCCATAGGTGTGGGCAGCCGGAAGCCCTCGTTGATGGCCTTCATCACCTGAAGAAGTGGTGTGGTCATGAGGGGGGTGTCCACAGGAGGTAGGATGCATGGCTCCGAGCCAGGCAGGTCCCCTGAGGGCCTCAGTGAATTAAGTGAATGAAGGGGAGGAGAACCCTGAAACAGATGAACCAGGCCTCTTTCTTGAGTCCAACATGCAAGTTTCTGAACTGTATAAGGACAAATGTTAAGAAAAGGCTGTTTCCAGAGTTCCAAGGAGAAGGGGACACCTGGACCCTGGAGTGCACCACGGGACAGACACACTGTGTGTCCTGCAGTCCAGCCTACTCCAGTATCTACACTCCTTTCTACGCAGCGGGAGCACATCTCCCCTTCCTCTATTCCACCTGGCTACTCTGCCCTTGATCTAAGAAAGACAGAACCTCTCCTGGGAAGCCTTCCTGAAAATACAGGCCTGATGACACACCAGGCACATGTACACATACACACACAGGAATGGACATATATGTACACATAAGTGAGCATGTTACACATACAGTCACATGTGCACCCTGGAGCCTAGCACAAGCCCACTACATAGGAAGCCCTCCAGACAGTGGCTGGAAGAAGGAATGGCTTTTAAGTTCGCATCCTGGGCAGGCGGGTGTCCTACCTCGTGGTTGGACAGCTCCCAGTATGGCCGCTCGCCATAAGTCATCACCTCCCACATGACAATGCCGTAACTCCACACATCGCTGGCTGATGTGAACTTGCGGTAGGAAATAGCCTCTGGAGCTGTCCATCGGATTGGAATCTTGCCACCCTGCAGGGGGCCCAGACCCAGTCACCACTGTTCCCTCTGGGTCAGACCGAGAGCCCCGTGTCCCTCCTCTGTGTTCCCCAGAGGTGTCCCTGTCTCTGAGTGGGACAAGGCTGCAGGTCCCTCATGGCTCCCACCCTTCCCAGTACCCCACTCACACTAGTGGTGTAGGTGGCCTCAGGGTCATCCTCCAGCACACGGGACAGGCCAAAGTCAGACACCTTGCAGACCAGGTTACTGTTGACGAGGATGTTGCGGGCAGCCAGGTCCCGGTGCACGTAGTTCATGTTAGCCAGGTACTTCATGCCGGCCGCAATGCCCCGCAGCATGCCCACCAGCTGGAGCACGCAGAACTCACCGTCCTTCTCCTGCCAGGGCACAGGTTCTCAGTGACAACTGACCAGATCCCACCAGCAACCCTAGTCCCTGTCCACCCTGACCCTGGCCCACTTGCTCACCCGAAGGAACTTATCTAGGGCTCCATTCTCCATGAACTCAGTGATGATCATCATGGGCTTGTCTGCAGGGGAATGGGGGAGACATAGGTATAAGGGGACAGCTAGGGCAGTAGGGAGCAGGGCACAGGTTGAGGGGGCATGACCACATGAAATGAGGGTACATGGACACAGGCATGGGGGTAGTTGTTAAGCACTGTTGAGTTGGTCCTGAGTCCATTGTGGTCCAGTGCTTATCCTACAGTGCCACACAGGACTCCCAGGGAGGGGGGCAGGGAATAGGCACAGGTATAGGGAAAGGTTGACACCGAGTGTGGAAGGAAGAGGGCATAGGTGCCAGGGTAAGATGAGCAAAGGTGTGGGGGGAGGTGGGCACAGGGATGGGGGAGGTGGGCAGGAAGAGAGCAGGCACCCAGAATTGCTGGCTAGAGTCTGGCCTCAAGCCTTTCCATGGAGAAGGTGGGAAGAGATGGGCACAGGTGTGGGAGTGGTGGATGCAGGGTAAGGGAGATGGACACAGGGATGGGGAGAGATGGGCACAGCGATGGACAGAGTCCAGCAGACGGCCCCTGGGCAGCCCTCTGCAGCCCACCGTTAGGCCCCCTGACCCATCATCTCCAGCCCGAGCTCACACTTGGAGACGACGCCCTCCAGGCGGATGATGTTGTGATGGCTGAACTGGCCCATAATGCTGGCCTCACTGAGGAAGTCCACACGCTGCTTCTCGGTGTAGCCAGCTTTCAGCGTCTTGATGGCCACAGGCACCTCCCTCTTCCCTGATGCCTTCAGGGTCCCTTTGTACACCTCCCCAAACTCTCCTGCAAGCAGACATGAGGGGAGGGTTATCCCAGTCAGCTGGTGTCAGGGGTCTCCCAACTTGTGCAGACCCCCAGCAGAGCAAGCTGAGCTCACCTGCTCCAATCACTTTCTGCCGTGTGACACAGGACGGATGGATCTCGGTGGTGAACTTGAGCACAGCCTGGTTGGGGTCCTCATATGTGTGGGGGTCCACGTATGTCTTCAGGGGCTTCAGTTGTTCTGGAAGGGAGAGAAGGGACAAGGTCACAGATAGCTTGAGGAGGGATCCTTGTGAGAGGGTAGAAGGGGCCAACATCAGCAGGGACCTCTGGAAATGGATCAGGCTGTGAGGATCAGCCCCCTCAGAGCTTCCCAGGGAAGGCTCTGGACCCACCCTCACGACCCTAGAATGCCAGAACTGGGGAGGACAGTGAGGGCCAGGCTGAGCATAGGCTGGGGCTTCATCTTCACCTGACTTGGAGAAGTACACATCCTCCGAGGATTGGCGGGCACGCAGGCTCTTCCTCCTGGAAAGACCCCATGGGGCCAGACACACAGGGAGATCAGTGAGACCCACTCTGCCAGGAAGGCCTCCTGTGCCCACTCTGTCCAATGGGAGCCCCGTCTTTTGCTCAGACCCCACCATGGGAGCAGAGAGCACAGGGACAGGAGGTGCAGAGGAAATGAGTAAACCTAAGGCTCACTCCACCCATAGTGGCCCCTGTGGATAGCTGTAATGAGGGCCTCCCTCCTTGATGCTTCCCAGTGCTTCCTGCCTGGGTGTCCAGAGGAAGTGGGGACACACCACTTAGAACAACAGCAGAGATAATGACAGCCACGTCTCAGCCCCAGCGTGTGCCAGGCGCTGTACTAAACACTTTATAGCTCATTATGTCCTCTTGCCACTGGGAGGTGGGGAGCAGGTTACTAACAGCTCCATTTTCCAGATCAGCAAACTGAGGGTTCATGGGCTCTGACAAACCTGCGGTGGATGAAGAAGCCAATTCCAGCCAGCACCAAAAGCAAGACAACACCAACGGTCACGCCACCAATCGCCGCCATGTTGCCAGATCCTTCCGTGGCTGCCAGGGGAGAACCAGATGATGACAGGGAGCCTCCACACCCCAAACCCTGACACCATCCCTGCTACAGCCCAGGCCCACTTTAGGGTCAATACACCCGGGCATCTACTCTGTGCTGGGCATTTTTACTTGTGATAGCTCATGACAAGCAGAGGAGGATACTGGGTCCCATTTCAAGATGAACAAATGAGAAGACTTTTAGAAATGGCTTCTTCTATAAGATATTCCCAGGTGTGTGGGACTCTAAGCTCTGGATCTCTGTGATGTTGAGATTTGAACTGGAGTTGTCCATGCCAGAGGATAAGCCCTTCCTTCTTGTAACAATTTCCCCTGAATATAAAACCTTGGTCCCCAATGTTGCTCCTGCCCAGACTTGGGGTAAACTCACAGAGCTGTCTCAGGTTGGGGCTGACAGGGAAGAGGACTTTTATTTTTTTAAATAAATACTTTATCATTCATATGATTTACAAGAAGTAAATATTTATCTGTGGGTTTTTTAAATGCATAAGGGTACCATTTAATCAGTTTTTCCAAGTATATATAACTATGTCCTTCAAAATGCTAACAGCGGTAGAACACTAACATCAGCCAGAAAACTGTATCATACAGGAGGGAGCATGTCCAGGGACTTTTGAACCATCTCCTCTTCTGGCTATGGCCCAGCTGCTCTATTGGAGGGCCCCGGCCCCTACTCACACAGGGTCTGGAATTCGTGCATCTTGCTGCCAGCACCCTGGCCCTCCTGTGTTAATGCCTGCACCTGGACCAGGTAGGTGGTATCAGGAAGCAGGTCATCCAGGATCACAGAGAAGCCTTCGGTGCGGCGCACGTTATAGCTGTTGGAGTCCCCCTATGGGTCGCAAAGTGTGAGAAGGGCGAAGCATCAGAGTCAGCTCAGCAAGGTGGTTCACCTGTTAGAAAACTGGATACTCTACTCAACAGAGGAGGAAACTGAGGCTCTGAGAAGTGAGAAATGAAATGACTCATTCAAGGTCTCAGTTGGAACTATCTGGTCCTAAAGACCTGTACACCCCATACCCCACTGCCTCGTCCGAGGATCCCAGAATAGCCTTCTTAGAAATGTCTGCTATGAGGGTTGAGAGAAAGACCCCGGAGCTCAGCTTCCTCATCTAAAGAGTAGGGCTTCCCAGACAGCTGTCAGGTGCAGCAAGCATCCAAGTGACAAACCCCTCCCCGGCTCTAAGCTTACCTTCTTGCGGTAGGTGACCTCATACTTCCACACACGGCTCTGTTGCCGCAGGGGGATACTCCAGGAGACTGTCAGCGAGGTGGTGCTTCGGTTCTCCAGCTTCACCTTAGGGGGCTCTGGACAGAACAGCAGGTGGGTGAGAAGTGTCAGGAGCTACCTTCAGGGTCCCAGCCCCACCCACAGCCTAGGAAGATCCCAGCCTGGGGATCCTTAACTCCCAGCTCCAGCCCCTCCCATAGGACCTGACATGGCAAAGAACCAGAGTATGAGCTACCCAGGAAGGTAGATAATAATAATAATAAAATAATCTGAGACTTGATAAATCCTTTCTACATATTCGGCATTAGTCTAAATTGTTGGTGTTAAGTGCCACTGAGTCAGTTCCAACTCATAGCGACCCTGTATAGAGTTTCTGAGGAGTGGTTGGTGAGCTTGAATGGCCGACCTTGTGGTTCAAACCAACCTTACAGGCCAGCACATTAACCCACAGTACCACATCAGAATTCCACTGGTCTAAAAGCCTGTCATAATTTACTAAATCCTCTCAACAACTCTTTTTTTAAAAAAATTATCTTTTTTTTTTCCCCTCCCAATTTTATTTTGTTGTTGTTGTTGAGAATATATTTCAAAAAGTTCATGGAAAATGGAATTAAAACAAAGGAATTATTCCATGAAATTTTTGAAGCCTCTTCATTTAGAGCAAACCATACACCAACTCAACCGTTTCTACACATACAATTCAGTGATATGGGTTACATTCAAGTTATGCAACCAATGTTGTTGTTGCTACATGCTGTGGAGTTGGTTCCGACTCATAGCAACCCTGTACAGGCTTTCCAAGGCTGTAAATCTTTACGGGAGCAGAAAGCCTCATCATTCTCCCGCAGAACTGCTGGTAGTTTCAAATTGCTGACCTTGCGGTTCGCAGCCCGATTCGTAATTACTACGCTACCAGAGCTCCTTATGCAACCAATAGTACCCATTTTTTCGGAGTTGTTCCCCAACTTTATCAAAATCTCACTGACACCCTAAGTTTCCTATCTAAAGCTTTGAATTGCTGATGTCATTTTGATGCCACATTGTTATTAGGTGCCATTGAGTCGTTACGGACTCATAGGGACCCTATGCACAAAAGAACAATTTCTATGCGATGCCACATAGATAGGTCTTAAAAGAACATAATGCTCAAAGGCAAACATTCTTCACTAGTTTAAGTCAAACCATTGTTTGGTTTTAAGAAGACTTCAAGACTTCAGGGAATATTTTTGGTTTAAGATTCAAAGATTTATCTCAGGACTATATAGTTTTAGGAGTTCACCAACTCCTCCATGGCTCCAGGAAGTCTAGAGTCCATGAGAATCTAAAATTCAGTTCTGTATTTCCCTCCCTTTTGATCAACATTCTTCTAAAGACTTTTTGATCAAAATGCTCAATAATGGTAGCCAGAAACCAGGCAAGTCGTCTGTTCTCATGGCAGATAAAGCAGTTGTTCATGGAAACACTTAAGACACACAGTCTATATATCCTTCGCCTGTTCCTGACTCTCTCTCTCTTCTTCTTGCTCCAGGCAAATAAAGAGACCAATTCTCTTGCCTTGGATGGCTGGTTGCAAGCTTTTATGACCCTAGGCACTACAGCAATGAAGAGGACAACAACCCTATAATTATCCAGGTGAGGAAATCAAGGCCCAGAGAAGCTAAGTAACTTGCTCATGGCCAAACAGCCCCAAAGTAACAAAGTCAGCATATACATACACGTGGCTCCACCTTTCATCATTTGTTTTCCAGCCTCTCTCTGAACATGGTCACCCACCCCAGCAGCCCTAGAGGGCCCAGCCATCCAAGGCAAGAGAATTGGTCTCTTTATTTGCCTGGAGCACTGACCTCCACCCTCACCTGTCTGGTTGATGCTGACACTGGCGGTGCGGAAGCTGCGGCTGGCCACCAGGCTGGAGACACCGTTTCGCGCCTCCACGGTGAAGGTGTAATTCATGTGAGGCTCCAGATCACTGACCATCAGGCTGGTGTGGGTTAACTCGTATGGCCGGTCTGAGTAACGCACATTGTCCTCACAGGGTCCACACTCGCCGGACTCGGGCCAGCACTGTTCACAGGTGACAGTGTAGCTGATATCCTCACGACCCCCATTGTCCTGGGGAGGCGTCCAGCGCAGCTCCACTCTGGCACCCATGCCCACAGCTGTAAGGTAGTGTGGGGCGGATGGCGGGCCTGCAGAGGGCAGAGGGCAGGATGTGGTCAATGCCCAGCTAGGCCTGGCATCCCTGGATGCACCCTCCCTACCCCACGGAGACTCACGTGTGCAGGGAGTGGCTAGAGAGTCCTCAGACGCCCGGAAGTAGCCTTCCTCACATTCACAGGAGGTGGCACCCTCAGGGGAGGGCAGTGTGTGTGCTGGGCACTCCAGGCAGGCACTCTCAGATGCCTCGGGCTTGAAGAATCCAGGTGAGCAAGCTGGTGGGCACAGTGATAGAGGGACATCAGTCCAATTTATTCTCACCCCAAATGACTTTTCCACTCCTCAGGTAAGTGGTTAAACCCCTGTGGGCTAGATTTCTCACGGGGAGATGCTGGGTGGCATTGAGGAAGCACATGCTGGCCACTCAGGAAGTGCCTCCCCCAGGAGCTCCAGACCTTCCCATCACCCCAATGGCTCTCAACAGAAGTGCTATGCCATTGAACTTGGCATTCAAGGTCCCATGTCCCCTTTCAGCTTCAAGGACCCCACGATGTGCCTGGCACCGCCTGTTCCCGACATGCTTCATCTCCTTGAGGCATGCCTCCTCTCCTTGTCCGGCAGGGCCCCACCTGCCTGGGGCAGGGACTTCATCCTCTTCTCAGTGTTTGTCTGAGTGTCTATCAGCATCCCCTGAGGTATCAGCCAGCACACCACCCTTACAAGTGCTGCCTCAGCTCTTTCTCCATCTCTCCCCTGCTCACACCTCCCTCCCAGGACCAGACAGCCTTCCTCTTCCTGGGCTGGCCCACTAGGAAACAGGAAAGGCCAGCCTCCAGGATTTCTCAGGATCTGGATCCACGGGCAAGTCATTTCCGTCGCTCCCAAGGACAGCCAGGAAGTGGCTCTTTCACCCCTGGTAGCAGGTTCTACCCCTGCCTGGTCTGGCCAGCTAGATGCTCAGACACCTGATTCTAAAGCTTCATTCTCACACCACCCTATCCTGCTCCTGCCCCAAGTCCCTTCTCTTGGTCCCACAGACAGGAAGCTATGCAAACATGGGGCTCCCTGTGTGGGGTTGTCTCTAAGCAGGTGGTCCCCTTTAGTTTATTCCCAGAGAGGAAGCCCAGTCCTGAGGCAGTGGAGCTGGTCTTCAAATGCTCACTGTGTCTCCTCTCTCCAGCTAGACCAACAAACAAAGCCCCTGAGCTCAGGGAAAAGGGGACAATGTCTACAAGAAAGGAGTGAGCGAGGAGTTAAGGAAATAGAGGGGAAATGCATCGGATACTGGGCAGGCAAAGGGGATATTTCGGCTTGGGTTTAGAAGTTGAGTAGGAGTTCAGCAGGGCAGAATTACTGAAGAAGAAATTAGGGGTGAGAAAGAGCACAGTTAATACAGAAGCTGTGAGTCGCTTTGTGGGCACCAATGTGGAAACAGCAGACAACAGGCTGAGAGGGCTCTAGGTACCAGCTCAGGAATGGCTTCAAACGCCAGGCCTTTTTCCTAGTGGGCAAAGGAGAGCCAGTGAAGGCTTGGAGTTGGAGATAACGGCCAGTCAGAAGTGCACTGCAGACCCCTCTGTGCCCAGTGCCCTGTGTGAGCAGAAGTGGCAAGGGGGCTTAAGAGTCAAAGGGACAAGTCTGGAGGACACCCAGTTTCATCAGGTCCTGGAGAGCAACTTCCTTAGTGATTCTGCTCAGACTCAGGTTATGTCCCTGCCTTTGCCACCCCTGGGGCAGCCACTCCCACCAGAACTCCACTCAGATCAGCACCAAAGGATGGGGCACACACCATGGGAGTGGGCTGATCCAGGACCACCCAGTAGGACAGGAGACTCTGAATCATCATCAACAGTGACCACAGGCCACTTACTGGGTAACCAACTGCATACAGCTCCCGGGCAAGGCACTTTACAACTATTTGTTCCGACTCTTGGTATAGGGCATGAACTGCCTACATTTAGGTTAGCAGTCCAGTGCTGACCATACCACCCACACCAGGACTCCTCATATCCATTTAGTCCTCATAATAAAGCTGTTGGGTATGAGCTCTATTATCCATAGTAATTCCATCTTGTTGATTTTAGTTTCGATTTTTGACTTAGGAAGCCCCTTGGTTACAAGTAGAACTGTTTCAGAGGGCTTCCTTGCCTGTGATGTTTACAGAAACACATTATCAGGACTATCTCTTCCATGGAGCCCCCCAGGTGGTTCAGACAGACAACCTTTTTGGTTAACAGCTGAGCACAAACTATTCGCATCACCCAGGGAACCTGCATAGATTCCATTTTGGAGGGGAAGAAACATTCAGGGAAGGAGAACAGCTCATCCAACTCTCTGGAGGACATAAACATAATACCAAAATTTCAACCCAACTCAGAGACTCTGCTTTGTCACGTCTGTTCCCAGAAATGCCTCTATTTAGAACGAAGAGAAATTGATATTCTGAAACAAGTCTGCAGAAAGGAGGTAAATCCCAGCCCCCTTCAACAGCCAGAAAGTCCCAAGACTAATTTCAGAGCCACACACACAGGTCTTCTCAAATAGGGAACATCTGTGTCCTCTGGAAGGCAAAGAACAGAAATAAACCCAGGGAGGCAGGGGCAGACAGAGCTGGCTCCCTCAAACCCTAAATGTCTCTCAATTCTCCTATTGTATCTAAGAAATCCATGTAAGACACATTCCTCTACAGATCTGTTACAATACAAAAATAGCTCTCTCCTCCCCTAAATCTTCAAGCAAGAATTAGACTCTGAGGAAGCCAAGCTGTGTTTATCCTAGGAACTCAGTTCTCCTAGATGCCCTGACTTGTCTGCTCAAAGGCTTATCTGTGCCCTGGGTAAGTGCTCATCTGCAGGTGGTCCCTACACCACAGAGCTGGGGTGCACTGGCGTAGCAGGTCACAGTCCCTAAGGACTAATCACATCTTCACAACCCAGGCACGTTCCACTGAAAGTTGCATCTACCTACAAGCCTCATGGTGACACTCTCCACTGCCTGTTCTTTTCCAAGCACCCCTCTAGCCTGTGCCAATAGGAGGAAGTGGGGGAAGAGACAGGTTCCATTCTTTGGCCCCAGAGCCTGGGGGTGGCCCGCCTGCGGCCAGCAGGAAAGAAGGAATTTGGAGAGATTTCCGCTGCGGCTGTGCCAGTTCATACAGCGGAGAGGCAGTATCAACAGGGCATGCTCTTGCCCTCCTCCAACCACAGAGCTACACAGGGCTGTCCTTGAGACCCCAGAGTATGCCATGGCCCCAGGGGTCCCAGAGTTACTGCATTACACCAGCAAGCCGGTCTCTCCCTGACTTTGCTCAGTCGGATTTCCATTCTGGAAAGTCAAGTGGAGAGAAGGGGTCCACACACCCTTACACCAAATACCCACCTGTCCCCTTAGCCACTGAGCAAACTCCTCTGCACACTTCAATACCCAGTTTAAGCTCCTCTACAAGGCCTTTCCAGACTGCCGGGTTTTCTGCTCCCCTATGTCTCTTAGGGCATCAATTACTCAATCTTATGTTTACCAAATAGAAATTGAGCACTTCCTACATGTTTGGCACAATTCTGGGTGCTAAGGATACGATTGTGAGACAGATAAACACTGTTTCAGCTCCGACTAAGCTCGCAGGCTGGCTTCAGTGCTTTGTTTGGAATTTCTTCTGCATATATTAAGTTTCCCTGAGAGACTTCTAGTGAACAGAAATGGAGTCCAATTCCTGTGGGTCCCAAGCCCAGCAGACTCTTGACATATAGTTGTTGTTACGTGCCTTTGAGTCAGTTTTGACTTATAGTGACCCTGTATAGGGTTTCCAAGGAACAGCTGGTGAATTTGAACTGCAGACCCTACAGTGCAAACTGACCTTACGGTCCAGTGTATTATCCCACAGCACCACACCAGTTGTTGTTAGGTGCCGACGAGTAGATTCCAACCCATAGCGACCCTGTGTAGGGTTTCCAAGGAGCAGATGGTGAGCTTGAACCACCATCCTTACAAGTTCAAATGACTTTGCAGTCTGACGCATTAGCCCACAGCGCCACACCAGGACTCCCTGACATATAGTAGGTGCCAGCTAATGTTTGTTGAATGAATGAATGCTCAAACCTACCAGGTACATATTAACCATATGCTCCAGACCCACGTAGTGAGCAGCACCTCAGTGCCCGAGGGTGGGGGGTGGGGGTCCCTGTGGGCACTGTGCACCAGGACACTCACCTGCCTGACACAGAAGCTAGCTTTAGCATACCTGAAGAGACTTCCCTGGACTGGGGTCTTCTGGCAGGCCTGCGCCACTCTGAGTAAGGGAACTGGGGCACCATGGCTACACCCAGGGTTGCACCCTGGTTTTTCCAGTTCCAGGTGCCTGCCCCTAAGGTGGCAGCATGGGGTGACTCAGGGACAGACGCCCTCTGGTGTGATGCAAGTCCAGCCCCCCTACCCCCACCCCTCGAGCCCCTCCTCCCAAGCCAAGCCACCTCCCTACTGGTGGTGGTGGCAGTAAGGTTGTGAGGTCAAGAAGTTATGGAAGCAATTTACCTAAAGCCAATCACCTTCCAAGCCAGGCCCAGCTGCGGACTGTGGCACACCATTCCAACCAGAGGACTTGTGAAACTTGGACTTTGTCTCCCTCTATGAGTGGTGGCTACAAATTATTGACCCCACAAACAACCTCAGGGCCTGGTGGCTTCTCCCAGATGTGGGGCCCATGTCCTGGGCCTGAGAGCTACAGTACTGGGCTCCTTTCCACGTCCCCCGGGGAAATGAACTGCCGGCACATTCCTTCACCAAGCCGAGATAAGCACTGCTCCCCCAGTCACAGTCTCCCTCCCGCCCTCTCCCTACCACGGGCCTTTTATCTCCTGTTTGCTTTCCCTGCCTCCTTCCTTCCGTTCTAGAGACCCACTTACCTCCGGAGAGAGAGGGAGGGGTCTGGTGCCCGCCGGCAAGGCTGCCAGCACCTGGTTTTGCCCACCGTGGGAGTTGAGGACAGGTGAGAATAGCAGAGTCAGTGCCACTCCTTGGGGGGTGTGGGGGGGGCTGCCTTCCCACAGCACCCACCTCTGTCAGGCCAGAGAACAAGCCTGAGAGTCCCTGCAGCTCCCAGCTTGGGGAGCAGCCATGTCCTACCACTGCCCTGCTATGAACGCAGGCCACTCTGCCTAAGGGCCACCCTACCCAGAGTCATCCCCTCCCCCAGGGAGTCTCTCCTTCAGCCACTCAGGATGTCCCTCCTGGTTACACATGACCTTTTCAGGAAAGTCACAGACATACCCATGAGGTCCGCAAGGGTCCCTAGAAGTCACCTATCCAACCCATTCATTTTACAGATGGGGAGAGCAATGCCCTCAGAGAGACTCGCCAAGGCCACACAGTTTATAGGTGGAAGGACACGTGCCAGGGACAATTGTGGACAGTGTACTGCCCTCCTTTTACAAGGCCAAAGCTCTTTTGGTCACTGGTCACCATTTCTTCTCACTGAGCTTCAGTTTTCTCATCCACAAAATGGGTATTACAAAGTCCTCAGTCTCTGTGGGCTGTTTGTGAAGACTGAAAGAAACCTTGCTGGTGAAATGCTTTTTTAGCAGGGTGGCTTGGAGAGGGTGTCCCAATGACATCCCAATGGAGAGGGGATGTCCCCAGAAGGCTGGACTCATGAGGGGAAGCAGGAGTCTTCAAGGAAGGAATTCCTGACCCCACAGTCTCAGCTCCAGCTCTGGCCTCCCAGCTGCTGGGCTAAGCTTCTGGCCAGGACCACTGGCCACCTGCTCACCTGCCCGGCAGTCTCCATAGACTGAGGCGCCAACCAGAGCCCCACCAGCTCTGCTGCCAATGGCAGCACAGGAAGCAGAGACAGACAGGGAGACAAAGCCGTCCCAGGAGAGCCGGTCAGCCTGAGTGACTCCACTGTCCCTCAGGCAGGGCCAGGAGGGGGGTGCTGGGAGAAAACTGGCTCATTCCTGACATAGCTCCCAGAGCTCTCCTGGGCAGCATGCCCACCTGTCCACACACAGCACCTGGGAGGTGCTTCCCTCTCCATTGCCTGCTTAATTAACTCTTTCTGAGCTTCCTGGGGAGGAAAATTCTGAGGAGAAACCAACTTTGGGAATAACCGAGACAAGGTACTAGGGGACCTTTCTAGACTCCGTTTTGTCACCAATAAGAGATTCCAATGACAGAATCTGGGCTTTCACCCACAGAGAGGGTGGCCAAGGAGGAGGGCAGACTCTACACCTCCTCCACCTCTCTCTTCCTGAACGTGCCTCTCATTGCTGGGGCTGCCCAGAGAATCCAACCCAGGGAACCCAAGGGCCAGGCATCCCGGGGCCAGGTGCTGAGTCAGAGATTCCAAAGGAACTGGTCACTTCCTGCCATTTCCCTAACCCATCACCTGGACCTGGTGCCACTGAATAGCCTGGATTCAAATCGTGATTCAGTCATATCTGAGTGGCTGCCAGGCAAGTCCCTTCACCTCTCTGAACCTCAGTTTTCTCACCTGTTAAATGGGGTTAGTAACAGATTTTGCCACAAGAGTGTTTGCTTTGCTTGGTGCCTGTCACTTGGAAAGCACTTAAATCTATGCTATTGTCTCCTCTGGCATCATGATCAGAGGCTTCTGGGAAAACTGTTCCCAGAACCTCATTCACTAGGGCCTGGTCACACAGAGGGCCCGCCGACCCACATGGATAGGGCTTTATGGAGGGGGGGGGGTCACAAGGAAGAAATGCTAGGGGAACAGGTGGTTGGCAACAGAGGGTCCACTAGAGAAGTTGAAGGTTTCCCTCTTGAAAACCAGTTCTCCCACTGGACAGCATCCTGCCAATCCAGGGCTGCTCAGCTCTTTATAAACAAAGCCTGCCAGATCCCTGACCCCCCACCTCCGGGGGAGAGAAGGCTACCCCCCTTCCTAGAGAGCCCCCCCCCAACCCCAACCATCCACTTATCTCAGCAGGGCCTGAATCACCCTGCCTGTGGAAAGTTTTCAGCTGCCCCTCACCCCCACCCCCGCATTCTTTTGTGAGGATGTCATGTGGGAGGGGCCTGCTCACCCCACTAGGCTGCCTCATGCCCCCCCACCCTGCAGTCATTGTCTGAGGCTAAGAGTATGCATTTGAGGTCACCAAAGCTGGGGCTGCCTGGGGGGGTGGGGGCTAGCTCAGTGGTGAGGAGCTGGAGAACAAGGCAGAGCTGAGCCCTAAGCTGCCCCATAGGATTATGGCCAAAAAGGCTCTTAGGGAACTTCTATCCAGGGGTTTGTCAACTGTGTTAAGCAGGGTTCTGAGGATTTGCTTTCAGAGGTAAGCAGGCCCATCAGAAAGGGCTTCAGGCTCCTCCCACACATCAGACCTTTGCATGAAGGAGCCATAACTGAAAACAAATACAAAGTCTGCTTATACCACTGAAATCAAGGTGAGACAAGATGATCTGCCCAAGCTCACCCAGCCAGTGTGTGCCAACGCAGAGGCAAAACTCTCATTTCTCAACACCCCGCTTATCTTGGCAAAGAAGCTCCCAGAGAGAGGGGACAGACTAGCCTTCCAAAATCACCCACTGAAAAACCCTGTTGTTATAGGGATTTCCGCTGTCATAGGCCCCAGGCAAGCTACAGTCTCCCCATCCTGAGGGCAGATGGTATAAATGTACCAATGCCCAGAGTCGCTTCAGTTAGCCTGGTCATGGGCATTTTTCTGAAGCTCCCTAGGTGATTTTAGTATGAGGCAAAGGACACAAATCCCAGGTTTAAATTAATCAACTTTCTGCACAAAAGAGGAGCCTAAGGCTCAGAGAGATTAAGTGGCTTGCCTGAAGTCACACAGCAAGTTAACAAGACAAGGACCTCGTTCCTAGGATTGTACCATATGTCCAGTGACGGTGCTCAGGTATATATGTGGGGTGATTCAAAAGTAATAGCCTCATTTATAAAGCATTTATGTGTCAGCCACTGACCTAAGTACTTTACAACTATTAAATCACTGCATTATCAAAACAACTGAATGAGGTAGGCACTAAGATCATTTCTATTTTACAGATGAGGAAACCCAGGCACAGAGAATTTAAGGAACTGGTTCAAAGTCACACAGCTAAATGGAGATCAGGGATTTACATCCAGGTGTTGGAGTCCTGGTGTGGACTGCTAACCTTAAGGTGAATGGTTCAAACCCACCAGCCACTCTTCAGAAACTCTATACATGGTCACTATGAGTTGGAACCGACTCAACAGCACTTAACAACAACAACACATTGTTCTAAGTAATATCTGGTGGCACTGTTAAGTGCTGACTATGAGTCAAAAGACTGGAGATTCAAACCCACCCAGAGGTGCCCTGGAAGTCAGGCCTAGTGATCTGTATCCAAAATGTCACAGCCTTGAAAACCATTTGGAGCACAGGATGGAAGGGGTGTCACCGTGAGTTGTAATCAATTCAATGGCAACTAACAACATTCTTGTCATAGCAGCCACATTTGTAACCACCACGCTATACTGTTAGACCGTTCATTCATTATTAATGAATTAGGGAAACTAATTGGAAATAAGGGAACTGATGTCTAGGAGGGCCCTGTGACTTCCATTCACAGTACCAAATCAGAGCTGAACTGAAAATTTCCCAAGCAGAGCTGACATGAGACTCTGGAAACACAGCCTCTAACCCCAGCACTCCACTTCCCTGCCACCTGTACCACCACTCACCCTGGCAGGCATCCTCCACCTTCTCGTAGCCCTCCTGGCACAGACACTGCCCAATGGGCACCAGCCATTCACCATCCACCGCACAGTGCATGAGGGGATCCTCTACCCCGGGTGGTACCACAGCGTGATTTACACAGGTACCAGCCACAGTGGCCAAGGAGGGAGCATCAGAGCCGGCAATGGTCTCAGGGAAGCGGGCCAGGTTCCGCAGCAGCTCGGGGCACTTCTTGTAGTAAACGCGGACAGAGAGCAATGCCACACAGGCACCGATGTCCTGGAAGGCCAAGTAGAAGCCCTTGCGGCTGAGTGGCCCCACAGAGCGTTCCTCCACGTTCAGCTTCACATAGCGGGCCTGAAAATCACTGGTGACGGTAATCTCGTCAGGTGCAATGGTGTCGATCTTGGTGAAATGACGCTTTTGGAAATTGGTGCCATAGTCCACGTCAGACTCTGCATAGTAGAGGTTGAAGGTCTCCTTGCAGGAGCTGGCACCCCCGGGGAAGCTGTTGCAGTCTCGAACAGTGAACTTGAGCTCGATGAAGATGCGCTCGGCCTCACCCCGGTACACCCAGTTAGTACGGAGCCAATTGTCCTGGTCGCCTGCCACCACATTGCACACGGCATACATGTAGATGGGCACGTCATCCATGATGTTCTGCATCAGGTCCCACTGCACAGGGAATAGCAGGTTAGCATGGGCAGGTGCCTCGGGTGGCGGGGGAAGATGCTTCACAGCTCACACTATGCCCATTTTACAGGGATGGGAACTGAAGCCTAGAAAGGGACTTCAAATCACCAGTACACAACTAGAAATAGCTGAGCCAAGATTTGATTCCAATCTCTGGGTGCTGAACCTGTACATTAAGGCTGTGAGCCTATGGTGAAGTCTGAGGGGTTCTAGCTGACCCTGTCACCTCAGACAGATCAGTTAAGCTCTGTGTGCCTCTGTGTTCCTATGTGCACAATGGGGGCAAGATTCCATACTTCACAGAATTGCTCTGAGGACAAAATGCTGAGCACCGTGGTTGACACAAGGCAATCATACTAAACTATTATTGTCATTATTATTATTACTCTTTCCCTGTGTTGTGTGTGTGTGTATGGGTGTGTATATAGATATGTAGGAGGAGTAGCAGGGGCAGAAGTGAAGTCAAAACATGGATGATCCTCTGCCATTCCGATTTTGGCTTTTGAACAGTCATCAGAACACAGCTCTGCCTCCTCCAGGAAGCATTCCCAGGTTGGGAACCCTGTGGCTCCCAGGGTGTCCATGTTCTCTTATCACAGCACGTGGTACCACCTGATGATGCCTAATTGGACTCTTACACTAAATTCTTGAGCACCTTGGGGCATGGCATTGAATTCACTTCTATCCCTACCTGGCATGGAGTAGGGGCTCAGGAAAGTATTCTTTGAATAAATGGACAAATGATAGCAGAAGGGCTGAAGAAAGAGGCCTCGTTTGTACTGTGTTAACATTAGCCTGTAAGCCCTTGGGTGTCAGTTCCCCACTCTGCATAATGCCTGGGTAGATCAGGTGATCTGTATGTATTCCCTCATATCTGGACATTCCACGACCCTAGGAAATCTGCTTAGAGCTGTACCCCATGCCTCTTCTAGCCAATGCCTGACCCCTCAGAGCTGGATGGCCAGGCAACAAAGTTTACAAAACACTCACAAAAAATCTGGTCAGCAGTGGGAAGTGTTCCAAGTAGCCCCCTGGAGACACCCCTCCCTAGCTTAGGGGACTAGAACAAACTCAGCAAGGGCCCATTACACAGATGGAGAAACTGAGGCTCATATTCTCCAAGATCACACAGCAACCATATACAAAGATGGGAGATAAGGATGCCAACTTCTTGGCTACCAGTCCTGGCTACAACCTGGCGCACCACTGGTGCAAGGCAGGGTAGGCCTAGGAAACTTGAATGGGAACGACAGCTCCCAAGCAGGAAGGGGAATAACAGCTGGGGAGGGGAGAGAGAGGGGCCAGCAGGAAGGAACCTGATCCAGTTCCCTGGGGTTGGGGGAGCTGGGAGCCACTATTCTCTGTCTCTCTATCACCCCTCACTCACCTCCTAGGCCGAGACTTCAAAGGCAGGGGGTGCCTTTAACCCCTTCACTCCCGAGAAGCGGATTGAGGGAGCTAGGACAATGTCCTCCAGCCATCAGCACTTCTAGGGTACCCAAAGGTCTCTGCTCTGCTAGGGTCTTTAGCTGTCTCTCCAGCTCCTTCCACCTCTCAGTTCTTCCCCCTCCTTCCCAAACCCCAACCATCCCTAGGAGAGCTGTTTCAGGAAGCAGGATCTCTGTGAATTTGAACTCTGGTTGAGTTGTTTGATCTAAGCCAGGCCTCAATTTTCCCATCTATACAGGGGACTAGCCGCTCCCTCCGCATAGCCCACCCACCCTGAAAGCTTACCCCTTTGCCATATGGCTGTGTGAGCCAGCCGAGTTCTCCTTTAGCTGCAGCAAAGTCCAACAGTACAACTGGAAAAGAGATGGGAGCAGACAGTGAGTGAGCCTGGGGGGTTTTGCCTTCAGTCAGACCATGTTGGAAAGGGTGAGAGTCCCCCCAGGAATTCCATGAGGCCCTCAAAGTCTCCTCAGCCCTCTGAAAGAGATACCAATACAAAAGATCGGTCCCCTTATCCAAGTAACCTGTCCCTTGACAAATGGGGAAATGGAGGCCCAGAGAAGGGACAGGACCTAGTTGAAGGCCGGCAGCAGGTTGCAGTGAGGACTAAACCTACCCTCTCACAGCCCAGGGCTCTAGTCCTTCCGCCCCTTCCACTAGCCCTCAGCTGGGCAGATCAGAACAGAGAGCTCAGCCCAGCAGGCGGGCAGCAGCTGGACCCAGAGCTGGGGTGAGCAGGGGTATTAAGTGACACCAGGCTGCCCTGGTCTGCTTCCTTGAAGGAGGCCAGCACTTCACACTCCTGTGCTGCTGGGGTCTGTTCCTATCACATCCCCACCCCCACTTTGGCCTCAAGCACACACATATGCACATGTATGTGAACACACAGTTCATGGCACTTCAAAGAGAGAGAGCTGCTAACAGGTGGGAACAGATCCTCTGGAGGGGAGGGGGCATGGGTATGGGGAATGGTCTAGAACTCATCTGCTCATCACAAAAGCCACAGAGCAGGCAGGATAAAATCCTGAACCCATAGGAGCCCAAAGATACACACACAGAGATGCCAACGTATCTCCTTCCTGGGACCCCGCAGTCCTTGTCCCCTCATACCCGGAGCATGCTGCCTTTCCAGAGGTGCCCCAGAGAACCAAGGATGGGAAAACCACCTCCGTATGGGACTTTCCAGGCCCAGATGGATCAGGTGCTAGGGACCTCTGAAGCCTGGGGAAGGGGATCATGGGAGGAGAGACAGAGTCACAGTTGGGGCTTCCCCACACCTAGCACTGCTGTGGGTATCCAGCCAAGACCCTGGGTTCTGCACTTCGTCCATTTCCAAGTTCATGTAGATGCCAACAGGTACCACCCTCCCAGGATCGCAAGGAGATTGGGGAAACTTAGCATGGGATAAAGTTCTATGGTCAGAGGAGAGGCAAATAATGACTTCCTTTGGGCCTGGACCACGAGGACACGAGGAACGTGGCCTCTAGAAACAGCATTCCTCAGACCCAGGACTTGGAAGAATGACTTGAATGGTGGCACCTGGGGCAGGCTGGCTGCAGAGACAGGTGCCATAAGGGCAGGAGTAGGTAGAGGGATCGGAGGCTCTCCAGAGTAGTCTTAGAAACCCTAACCGAGGTTACACTACCTTCTGTCCTAGAACTAAAGAACCCTAGGCCTGCTGTGAGGTACTGCCACCGCAACTAACTGCTGACCGGGCCAAATCTCCTCTCGAGGAAAGCAGTGGGCAGCCCAAGCACAGAAGAGGAAATCCGATGTGGCACCGGCCCCAAGCAGAGGCTGCAGTGGGGGTAGGGGAGGTAGGTTGGGGTAGGGGCAGGAATTTGTTCAGACATGCCCAAGGCCCAGGCTTGAAAAACTCACTAACCCCACTAGCAAATGGAATGTTCCGGCTGCACAGGAAGGAATCTGAGGGTTCCTGACTCCAGCTGGGTGGGTAGGAGGGTGGTGTGTCCGGCACTTACACCCTCCCCCAGCCAGTGGGAAGCCACTGTCCATGCCTCATAGGGAGGGACTCCTTGTTCCCAGCTCCGAAGGGTTAACCTGGTAATGAGGGTCCCCACTGGCCCTCCCGGGGTCCCCTCCCCTTCCAGTCCTGGGCCTGGCACTAGAAGTATCACAGGGCTGCAGTTGAGAATAGAGGCCTTCACACAGGAAGGGGCCTCCCCCAGGGGCTTCCAGACACAGCCCCCTCCCCCGGGAAATTCCCGAGAACCAACCACCAGGAACAGGAGCCCAGCCCTGGGTCCCTCCACCCAGAAGCGGGTGCGGCTGTTTCCCAGATCTTTTCCAGGGTCAGGCTCCTGCTTCCATGAAAGAGAGGCCCTGGGACCCCTCAGCTGCCCCAGAAGGCTTCACTGAAAGGCTGAGAGTTAGACAAGGCTGAGCCCTCTGACCCAGGGGGGACAAAACAACTTCCCCCTCTGCTTCAAGTTCCATCATTAATGCCATCCTTATGGGTCTATATTGCTCTACAGACTTTTTATTCAAATGTATGTAGTAAGTAGTTCCACCCACTCTTCTATTGTCACTTCCCAGGCTCTTCCATCCCTCTTCAACCAAGACCAGCTAATGCCTAAAGAAAGCAGGGGAGGCAAGGGAGCCTGGATAAAAAACATGAAAAAAAGGAAGTGGGCAGAGGGGCAAACTGGGTCCTAGTAGAGTTAAGAAGCCCAGAACTTTCTAGGCCTCCCAGGCACTCTCCAGCCCTCTTTCCATTAACTGCCTCGGGTTAAAAAAAAAAACCTAAAACCTGGAACCTTCCCAGACCCCCACCTGGACCCCTGCCCAGCTAGTCTCCCTTCCTAGGAAAATCCACCATGAAACCACAAAGCAAAGGGGCCCTTGCTCTGGCAGCCTACGGAGCCAGATGCTTGGGTCTGACCCTCTGGTGCAGAGGGGCTGGGCTGGCAGGAAACTCCCTCAGTCTCCCCCATTTGTAAAAGGTGGGCAGACTATGTGGTCATAGAGGATATAACAGGCTCCATCTGCAGGTTCCAAATACAGCCCAGCTCCTCTAACCCAGTGAGGGGGAGAGGCGCGATCAAGAAGGTCGTAGCTGCCTAGGTTAAGGGGTGGAAGGGCATGTGTCTCCTATATGCACTCCTAACCCACCACAACACATTAGCCCACTGCAACCTAAATCCCAAAGAGCATCAAACTAGCAGCTGCTGGCTGGACTCTCAAACCCACCCTCCCTAGGCACACCTCCTTAGGGGGTCGTTCACAGGGCCTTTTGGGATCTAAGCAAAAAGGTTCCCTCACCCCTATACTTGACAATAGGGCCCCGTTTCTCCCCCATCCCACAGTGCAGGACAGAGCTAATCACATAGGCTGAAGTCCAGGACAAGGTGGCTCCAGGCTTTCGAGCCAGAGGTCTGCCAGCAGCAAAGCAATGGCCTAGGGCCTAGTCCTGTCAGTCCTACCTAATCCGCCCCGCCACCACCACCACCCCCACCGCGCCTCCCCGACCCCATGGGCAGCTTGCAAGAAAGGCCTGTAGTTCTTCCAGCTGTCTCTCCCCTTCCCTCCAACTAGTTCCCCAAAGAACCGAGAGGACCAGAACTGAGGAGTGTGTGGGGGGGGTGGGGGGGGGGGGAGGGTCTCCAAGTCGGGACTATGGCCCTGTCTGCTGCAGAAACTGGGACTGAATGACACCACCAGGGCCACTCAACACAGTGGCTCCGGCTCTGCTTTCTCTTCCTTCAAACCGGGAAAGGCAAAACTTCAAACCCTAGTTTGAGAGACGGAAAAGGAAATCAAGGCTCAAGGCAACCTCCACCTGCCTAGGATTTCCTCCGCATTTCCCTCTGCGGGAGCGGCGGAAATCTCGCTTCTGCCCGGGTGTTGGGGAAAACTTGTTTCCACAGTTGCAAACTAGCTTCTTCGGCTGGTGGACAGGAAGGTATCTGGATGAGCGGAGGAGATTCCCGCATTTCTGCGACCCCGGCTAAGGGGACAACACCATCAAACCCACGCCCGCCCCGCCCAGGGCAAAGTCGACCGCCCCTCATCCAGCAGCACCGCGCTGGGAGCGCTGGGGCGGGGGTGGGTGATTCAGCTCCCCCACCCCAAGTACTCGGGTTCCTTGGTGGCCCTGGGGTGACGGCTCCACACCTTAAGAGCCGCGCCCCCACCTGCCTCATTTCCTCGTTCTGAGTCACCCCTTGCTCAAAATGCTTGGCTTTGGGACTTCCTGTCCTCACGCGCGGCCCCAAACCTGCCCCCCGAATCTGGGAGTGCGGACTGGGAAGCAGGAAAGGGTACGCGTGGGTAGGGACTGACCCGAACCTCGCTCCATGTCCTCCTGCGGTGACTGGAGGCCAAAGGGGGCGCAAAGAAAAATCTCAGGGGACACAGACTACCGCGAGGGTCTGTCTGCACAAGAAAGCTCTCCCCAAAATGAGGCGCCGCTACAGAAGCGCCTTCTCGGCAAAATGAGATAATCGGGTCAGTGAATCCATGTCGACAAGAAGCTAAGCCCCAAAGCAAAGCCCTTCAGACACTTCTCCAAGGAATCCCGCGCCCCCCCGCTGGAAAGCGTTCCTGAAGTGACCGCGCGGTCAGCAACCGCGTGGCCTGCGCCTTGTCCCCTTCCCCGCGGCCTCCGAGCCCCGCGCGCTCCGGCGCAACCCGAGCCCTCAGAGCCCCTACAAGCCCGCATAGGGCCCCAGACTCGTCAGATCGCACCCGCACGCCCTCCGAGTCCAGTGCGCTGGGACTAGGTGGCGCCAGGTCGCTTTCCAAAGTTGAGCGCGTCGGGGCCTCAGGGCTCCCCACTGACGCGGGGTCCTGGGTCCCCGCGAGTCCCGTCGCGCCGCGCACACTCACCTTCCTTGCCCTGCGCCTCCGCCACCGCCAGCGCGCAGCCACACAGCAGGACAAGGCAGGCGCGGGCCGCCTGGAGCTCCATGCCGTGCCCCGCGCGCTCTCCGCCCATCCTCCGCATCCGTCTCCCGCACTCCAGCTGCCGGCCTTGGTGACTGATTCCCTCTAGCCAACCGCGCACAACTTACACCCCTCCTGCCCCAAGTGCTTAATGGAAGTTGGGTGAGAACCGACTCCTGTTCATTCATGCCCCACGCTGACGTCACCAAAGCCACGCCTTCAGGAATGCCTTTAAAGGGGCCGGGCCTGCACCGCAAAGTGCAGGAGGGGAAGTCCCGAAGGGGTTGGGAGGACCTGAGGCCCTCTGGTTAGAACTCCTCAGGGTGGCTGCGCGCTCACGGGCTAGTGTCCAAGGACGGTTTGCGTTGAGCCATCCCTTTTGCCCTCTTGGGATTGGGCTCAACATCGTTCAGAAAGCTTGGGCAGAAAGGGAATTAGTTTTAAGAAGCAGTCTGGGTAGTGGTTATTGTTGTTAAGTGCCATTGAGTTGGTTCCTGTGTAGGGTTTTCAAGGAGAGGCTGGTGAGTTTAAACCGCCGACCTTGCGGTTCAAACCGCCCTTGCAGTCCAGTGCTTATCCTACAGCGCCATACAAGGAAGTATGACCCCCCCGAAGTAGACCCCAATGTTCCTCTCTTCCTGAAAATTGCAGGTTGCGCCAAACCAACACTGTTGAAAGTCAAGAAGGGCATCTTGACTCAGAACGCATCAGAAATGCGCTAGGCTATCTGTGTACTGTTGCTTAAAAAAACAGGCCATCTCAATGTCTGCATGTACATTTCAGGAACATGGATTACCTTCTTCAGGCAGATGCACTATCTCATTGAATTCTCATCTGTGAGGCAAGTATCATCCCCACTTTATAGAAGAGGAAACTGAGGCTCTAGGACTTAAACAATATGCTCAAAGGCCTCTTGTACTTGAACCCTGCCTTAACCACTGCACCATGCTGGGGAAGGGCAGGCAAGGGCTGTTGCACATAGCACTCACAGCCCCTTACTCTGGAATGACATCTGTGACACTGGAAGACAGCTGCCCCACCTACCTATTCAAAGGATTTCTCACCAAAAGTCCATCAGACATAACTGTATCACCCCTCTAGACTCAAGCGTTTAGTGTGAATGAAATAAACAGGAAATTTCTGGCCTGCCTGGCCTGGCCACTCAGAACTGCCAGTTGCCCAATTGCCAGCTGCAGCAAGCACCTCCCTCTGCCAGCGTTTCTGACCCCTCCTCTGCCCTGCTTCATGCTCCCCTGGACCTGCCTTCCCAGCAGCCCTGCTGGGCTACTCAGGCCCCAGGGTCCTCCCTGCCAAAGGTGGACCTCCTTCATGACTTCAGAGCCTCAGCATCTGTCCCTTGGGAAGCAGGTCCAGACATTTCCCCCGGGGTGGGGGGGGGGGGGGGGGGGGAACGATAATTACAGGTGTTAGGGGAGTGTGATTAAAGTCTTTGACCAAGATGATAGGAGGAGAACCTGGGTCTTTTGCAAGTGTGTGTGTGTGTGTGTGTGTGTGTGTGTGTGTGTGTGTGTGCAAGATTGTGTTTGACTGTGGATGTGAGTGTTTTTGTATGTAGGTATGAATGTATATGAGTATGTGTGGATGTGAGACTATGTGTATATGAATGTGTGTATCCATTTATGTATGACTGTGAGTGTTGGTATGCGTGTATGAGTGTGTGGGTGTATGTATAGATGTGAGACTATGTGTATATGACTGGGTGAGTGTGTGTGTAAGTGTGCTGTACTTCAGGTGGGAGAGAACATAGACTATGGAGTCAGACTGCACATGAATTTGTGGATTAGTCATTTCATTTCTCTGAGCCTCAGTTTGCTCATCTGGAAAATGTAAAGACATACTTTAGAGGATAATTGAGAAGATCAAATGAGGTCATGCATGCATGTAAGCCACATAGGACAAGAATATGGAAAGCGCTTGTTAAACCTAAGCTGTTATTACGGTTCTGTGTGGTTCAGTAACAGGAACAGCCTCTGTGGAGGTGGGGCTTGGGGTGTGCACAGGCTCTGTGGATGGACACACAGGCATGTATGGATGAGTGAATGTAGTGTTGGACCCTCTAGGCTATGGACACTGTTGTTGTTAGGTGCTGTGGAATTGGCTCTAACTCATAGCAACCTTTATTCACAACAGAACGAAACAGTGCCCAGTCATGTACCAACCTCACAATCTTGTTGCTATGCTTGGCCCATTGCTACTGCCACTGTGCCAGTTTACCTGGTTAGGGGTCTTCCTCTTTTTAGCTGACCTTACACTTTACCAAGCATGATATATCCATCTCCAGGGACTGATCCCTTCTGATAATCTGTCAGAAAGTCTGGTTGATCTGGCTTCTAAGGAGCATTCTAGCTGTACTTCTTCCAACACAGACTGGTTTGTTCTTCTGACAGCCCATAGTATTTTTAATAGTCTCCTCCAATACCATAACTCAAATGCATCAATTATTCTATGGACTTCCTTATTCATTCTCCAACTTTCACATGGGCACTGTGGTATATGTAAAATTTCATGCAAGTGACATTGAAGACCATGTTTGTATGTGTTTGTCACATGTCATATGCAGGCTCAGTATGTGGGATGTGCCACTAGAAGATGTAGCTCTGGAAGGCAGGGATGTTTGTTCACTACTGTATCCTCAACACCAGACATATAGTAAGCATTCAACAAACCTTTACCAAATGAATGAACCAATGAGTGAATGAGTGTTGGCAAATTCTGCGCCGCATGAAAGTATTTGTACATTGTGTGGGTTGGTCCTTTGTGTGGCATATGTAGAATTCTGTGTGGCTGTGCCAGGATGAATCTCATCTCAGTGTCAGGAGTGTAGGCAGGGCCCTGCTAACGCTGGGTTGTGTGTCTGGCACCTGACATATGTGCCTGAGCTGGGGGTTGAGAGATGAGAACACAGAGATGGATGGAGGTAAGAGAGGTCTGAGGGAGGAGGTGGTGTATGAGGTAGTAGCAGGGTGATAGGGCAGTTTTCTGGCTTTTACTCACCCACTTAGTGAAACACCCTTCGTTCTCTTCCTATCCGACCCTGAGTCCTTCCCTCTCTGGAAGACTGGATGCTAAGGAAAATTCCTAGGTGAGTCTTACAAAGCAGAACCTAAAGGTGGTATTTATAGTGACATAATAAACCCTAATGGAGATAGAATTACCCCATAAAGGCCCCAAGGAGCCCTCAGGGCCTAAGTGCCACTTCTGGTCTAGGCAGGTAGAGGAACCTCAGTGTGTGCTTGTGCGGGACTGGGCCAGCCTCATCTGCCTGTCAACACCTCCAGCCCACCAGCCCATGTAGGTGCCCACTTTTGCCAGGATTTGGCTGGGGACTGAGAGATGAATGAATATTGAGCCATGGCTCCTCCATCTCTCCTTTGATCTGCACCTGCCTTCAACCCAAGGGCATCAGAAAAACCACCCTAACCACCATATAGAACGTACTTGCCTCCTCGGCTCTTATTCTTTCATTTAACACATCCCCCATCATGGGCACAACGAGCTCTGGTAGCATGGTGGTTACGAATCAGGCTGCTAACCTCAAGGTCGGCAGTTCGAAACTACCAGCTGTTCCGCAGGAGAAAGACGAAGCTTTCTGCTCCCATAAAGATTTGCAGCCTCAGAAACCCTGTGCAGGGTCACTGTGAGTTGAAACTGACTCCACAGTACTTAACAACAACAACAACAACCATGAGCACAACACCATCCCCATTTTACAGAGAAGCAAACCTGCTCATAAAAGCTGGGACGTTAGCCCTGGTAGTTTGGTTTGGGGTAATGCTCTTGTGAGTATCTATCTTGTCCACTGTCCCAAGCAAGAAGTACTGAATTCAACAAGCCTCCGAGAGTACTCCACAATATGGAATGAGGCACCTGCTTTCTGCAGCCAGCATCTCCAAGGCCAGTTTAATTACAACCTCCTCCATGAAGCAACCAGGGATTATATCCTCCGTTGAGTCCCAGGGCCTCCAATACTACATGCCCATCAGAATTGGCTTCAGCCAGCTCAACCCTTCCTCATTTGGAGGGCCTCTGAGCTGTCTCCCCAACTAGCCTACAAGCTCCCCAAGGCAGGTGCTGAATATGGTACTCCGTTGCATTCCTGCCACCAACTAGAACAGAGTCCTGCCCACATCAGTCACTCAATGGATGCTCACGTTTCATGGTGACACTGAATTAGCCCTCCACTCCATTCATTTCAGTGTACATCTATTGAAGGCATACTATGTTTTGTGCCCATTCCAAAGGAGTGTGGATGTTTGCTGAAGATAATTCAGAAAAGATAATTCACCAACAGGAAGCTGTCAGAAATTCAAGCCAGATTTAGAAGAGTATGTGAAATGTATGGTGGATCTTGTCTGAAAGCAAAGAATACCAGAAGATGCTTGTTGCTGTTGTTACATGCCGTGGAGTCAGTTCCGACTCATAGCGACCCTGTACAGTGTTTCTGAGGCTGTAAATCTTTACGGAGCAGAAAGCCTCATCTTTCTCCCGTGGAACAGTTGGTAGCTTCATACTGCTGACCTTGCAGTTCGTAGCCCGATTCGTAACACTACCAGAGCTCCTTAAATGCTTACTTATAAGTATTCAACTTATATGGATCATAATAAATTATGGATGTTTAAAAGAACAGTAATTCCAGAACACTTAATTGTGTTCATGAGGAACGTGACATTAGACCAAGAGGCAGTCATTCAAGCAGAACAAGAAGATACTGAATGGTTTAAAATCAAGAAAGGTGTGCTTAAGGGTTGTACCCTTTCACCATACTTATTCAATCTATATGTTGTTGTTGTTAAGTGCCTTTGAGTCAGTTCTGACCCATAGCAACCCTGTATAGGGTTTCCCGAGGAGCAGCTGGTGAGCTTGAACTGCTGACCTTGCCATTCAAACGGCTCTGCAGTCTGGCGCATTAACCCACAGCGCCACACCAGAACTCAATCTATATATTGAGCAAATAATCTGAGAAACTGGGCTTTATGAAGAAGAACTCAGCATCAGGATGGGAGGAAGACTCAACAACCTTCCTCATGCAGATGACACAACCTTGTTTGTAGGAGGGGAAGAGGGCTTGAAGCATGTATTGATGATCAAAGAATACAGCCTTAGTGCACATTTATAATTCAATGTAAAACAAACAAAAAACCAAACCTACT